CACACGGCCCTCCTGAGGAGGCAGGGACACACAGACATCCGCAGGCACTTTTGTCACCACAGCTATTGCTATTGTTTTGCATTAAACCCTGATCCTTTCCCCGTATTTGGGCATTGGGGTCAGCATCAAGCTTTGCTGGCTATTTCCATATTTGGAGTAGAATTCTTCCAACAGCTGAGCACTTGCCCAAGATGACTTCTTTGTAAAGAAAGATGTCTGGCGGGCGGTGGTGGCGCACACCTTTAATCCCAGCACTTGGGAGGCAGAGGCAGGCGGATCTCTGTGAGTTCGAGGCTAGTCTGGTCTACAAGAGCTGGTTAGGGTTAGGGTTACAAAGCTACAAAGAAAAACAAAGTTACAGAGAAACTCTGTCTCAAAAAACCAAAAAAGAAAGAAAGAAAGACGTCTGAAACATGGGACAAGAACAAAGGCCAGAGGTCAGCCAGAGATGCTCTTTTCTTGTTACCCTCAAGGCCCATCTTCATGGCCCCGGGGAGAATGAAGTCAGTGCTATGCTTTCCATCTCATGCCTTACGCCATCCTCGCAGCAAACGCAAACCGGTGAGATGAGTGGGAAGGATGAGATGCCAGACTCTAAATCCACACACTGTACAAGAACATCTGGTTCAGCCAGAGCTCCTTCCAGGAGACCAGCCAGTGCCAGCCGTCACCTTGGGGCCTGAGTTCCACTTTACAGAATCTGGTAAGGTATCACCTGCTGTTCCCCAAACGGCATGAGTCCACAGTTTCCGTTTACTCAATCACTTTAGTGCTGAGACTTCACACGACAGCCTGCCCTCGTGGGACAGCACACAGTGACAAAAGGCACATTTTGGTCGCATCCCTGGGCTTAGATTCTAACTCTAGCCCCTGGTCCTGATGCTCACTTGAAGGCTCCATTAATCCCAGCTGACTTCCCTTATTGCCTGCCTCTCACTGAGAGGGTGCCCTGCTGCCTGAGTCAGACTGGAGCTTAGGTTACAAGCGGACACGGCTGCCTGTTCTCTTCTTCAGGTGTTTCACTGCAGAAGAAAGCTCAGCAGGCGGGCGCAGAGCCATGTGGGTGCCTGGCAAGCTTTCCGGGCGTCTCACCCCCAGCCCAGACGTGGGCATCAGACAGATACTCACCACCTGACCATGAGTCCGTGCTCCATGAAGTTTTTCAGGTTAGGAAGGGTTTGCCTCAAGTCTGGAGTCCCCAGGCCATGCTGGTATCTCAGCTGCAACAGAAGAACAGGATTTTAATTTAAGTGTACGACGGCCATCTCAACTGCACCGAGGGACAGCACTTAATGGGTCTTCATGTACCATTCATTCCTTTATACCTTCGACTTGAAAGCGTGGCCAACCATGCATCTTGGTCTGGTCTTTTCCATTCCTAGACCTTTGTGAGTTTTCCTAACGCCAAAGACACACCTCACCAGGAGTATTTAAGCTAGAAAAGATTCACTTTATTTTATGTGTATGACTGTGTTGCCTGTATGTATGTGCACCACATGTGGCCTAGAACCCACAGAGGCCAGAAGAGAGCGTAGGATCCTTTAGAACCAGGGTTACAGGAGGTTGTGGGCCACCATGTAGGCGCTAGAAACTTAACCTGGGTCTTCTGCATGAGCAGCAAGTGCTGCTAAGCACAGAACCGCCTGCAGTTCTGTGTGTATGTGGTGTGCCTCTGTGTAAGTTTGCACAGAACCGCCTGCAGTTCTGTGTATATGTTGTGTGCCTCTGTGTATGTTTGCATGCATAAGTATATGCCTGAGGAAGCTAGGAGAGGTGCTGGGGTCCTCTGAAGCTGAAGTTACAGGAGGTTAGTGAGCCACCATACACGGTGCTGGGAATCAAACCCTGGTCTCTGCTAGGGCACTCCATACTCTTACCACGGAGACCCTCTCCAGCCCCTCAGAGATTTTAAATTACATCTACTTATGCCAATTTTCACAGGGGCTATGCTCTGGATTTCTCTACAGCATTCACTGTGCTTTGTGTGTGAATGGAGGGGGGGGGGCTGTTGAGGTTTTATCCTTAGCAGCACAAAGATAAATGAACAAAAAAATAAAGTGAATTTAAGAGTGAAGTAAAACTTTGTTACCAAAAAGATTAATTTAACACACAAGCATCTAGCACTCAGGTGATTTTTTGGAGTTCACTCTCTGGAACTGAGACGATAAAGGGAGAATCACAAAACACAGGTGAACTTCTAGGATGTTCTAAATGAACACACGTCAAGCCGGGAGGCAGAAGCCCACAGTGTGAGAGCTAGAAGGTGCCTTGGCTATTATTTAAGCTAGTGGTAAATTTCTCCTGGCCACAGGTTCATCAGGGCAGACAACACTAGTCTGGGTCTGTTTTACACAAGCCTTTCTGCTCTATCCGCTCTGATGGCTGGGGAGAAAATTGGTAACAGCTCTTGGGAGGCCACAGGAAAATATTCTCTCCCTTTCAAACTTAGTTTGGTGACCCGAATCACCTCCTGAGATTTGCTAGCCTTGAATTATAAGATCTACTCCATATTAAATGACATCATCCCTTATATTAATATAAAAGCATTTTTTCCATACATTGATAAAAGCAAAATGGCTGATATCCCAATATGACATTCCTGAATTCATTGTTTCAATAAAAAGTGAAATTGTTTACACATGGCATGGAAATTTCACCTGTGATTCATACAGAAAAATATTAAATATTAAAAAAAGTCCATGTGGACTATCAGGAAACTGTCTCTGGGCCGGCACCCAGTCAGCTGCCTGCTCAGGCTTCACAATGGAAGGCAGGGGTTGAGTTGTTTGAGACCACAGTGAAAGTTTCTCTCTAAAGTATGATTTCAATAAAGAGAGAGAGAGAGAGGGAATGAGCCTCCAGTGAGGCCTTAACTATTTGTTATGTCGTACCACTGAGTGAGCTAGCGGGGTCCGGGGAGAACACTTGACTGCCTTCCCAGCCGCACGGCCTGCTGATCACAGTGCTGGGTTCCGCCCGCCACGCTTGTGCTCAGTTCTCAGTGGAGAACTAAAGGAGAATGTGTGTGTCGTGGTTCTGACAGCCGAGCGCTCGCTCTGCATACACAAAGCCTTGGGGTCGTTCCCAGCACCACATAACCTGGGCGAGGAGGCAGAGGCCTGTGACTCCAGGGCTCAGGAGGCTGACGCAGGAGGACCAGAGAGAAGTTGAGGGTCATCTTGGGCTATGTACAGAGTTTAGGGTTAGCCTGGGGTACATGAGACCCTGTCTCAAGAAAAAAAAAAGCTCCTATCATATGTATTTCTGATGTGGGATTCCCCTCATAATGCTGTGAGTATGTTATATTACCATTAGTTAATAAAGGAGCTGCTTTGGGCTATGGCAGGAGAGAATATAGCAAGGCGGGAAATCCAAGCAGAGATAGAGGAGGGAAGAAGGCGGAGACAGGGAGACGCCAAGTAGTCGCTGAAGGAGAAAGACGCCAGAGCCAAGCCTAATTGTGATACATAGATTGATAGAAATGGGTTAACTGAAGATGTAAGAGCTGTCTAGGAATACACCAGAGCCATTGGCCGACCAGTGTTGTAACTGATACAGTTTCTATGTGATTATTCGGGTCTGGGTGACGGGAAACAGAAGCACAGTCTCTGTTTACAGTTTCTATTAAAGTTCAGGGTTTAATAATAAAATACAGGGACGGCCTTGGAAACCTAAAGCACCACAGGTTCACCATGAGCGAATATCAGCACCTGCTCTCCAGGAGCAACCCCTTCCAGCTGTTCCTTCCTAAACACTGCACCTTCATCAGCATCCACCATGCTGTGGACGATGGACACCCAGCCACTCCTCGTTCACACAGTCTTACCCACTCTCACTGCATTGGGAACTCGACTCTCTATCCACCCACATGCTTTCCTCTTACTGTCTTCAAGACAGTCAGTATCATTGTTATTATTGTTATTATTATTGTTATTATTATTATTATTATTGGAAACAAGGTCTTATGTAGCCCAGGCTGGCCTTGAATCCTCAAATTTCCTGCTCCCACTCCCCATGTGTTTGATTATAGATAGGCATTGCCACCACACTTGATTTCAGCACCCCACTGTTATTAGGTCAAGATTCAGTGTTGAGCGGGTGGTGGTGGTGCACGCCTTTAATCCCAGCACCCGGGAGACAGAGACAAGCAGATCTCTGTGAGTTCGAGGCCAGCCTGGTCTACAAGAGCTAGTACAGGACAGGCTCCAAAGCTACATGTTGAGCTTACTATGCTTCCATAAATAATGCTCAGTTCCTTTCTTGGTGCTTGTTTGAAATAAATAAGGGGTCTTTTTTTTTCCTGCTTGCTGAATTTGTAAATGTACCTATCAATGTGAAGAAACGTTAACTCTTTCCCCATCTGACTAAGCACACTATGTCCATCCATCAAGTCCACTCCCCCGCCCCCCAGGTGTATTTTCTGAAATATGGGGAGTCAGTTCACTTATTGGAGTTTCATTTTCTTCTGTATAAAGTGGGGATGTTTCTTGCCTCACAGCATGCAGTGGGTCAAAGCCAGTGTCCGGCCCAGGTAAGAGCTCAAACAAACAGTCTTACCGTCATTAATGCACACACTCTTTCTGTTTGATCACCGCTGCACCTACCACTAGGCTGGGCTTAAAACCTGCTCAGAAATGGCTTATACTTACCTAATTAGAAGGGAACTGGCAAAGGAAGAAATGAGTTACTTCCCATCAAAGGGCAAAATCTTAAGTATTAAGCTCATATTTTCAATGCTAATTTTGACTCTGACTGGAGAGGCAGTGGTGAAAGCACACATGTTAATAGCTTCATGGTGATAACACAGGAGGAGGGGACAACTGACCCCTGATGTGGGTGGTCAGGCACCCGAGTGACAGCTCCAGCCTGTGCAAACTTCTCCTGGGTTGAGTTGGTCAAATATTTTCAAGCTTTTAAAATTTCATGTTTTTTTTTTTTTTTTAACAACACTAACAAGTTACCCTGGTAAGGTACCATCAAAAACAGAAAGGAAAAGAAAAGAGAAAAAGGCAAAGTTGGAAAGAAAGGTGCGGAGAAAGACCTGGGCTTACTGAGCTCCAATGTCTGCTTCAGCCGCTCACTCATCAGCACACCTGGTGCCCACACACTTAGACAGAACCCTCCTTACCATGTAAGCCCTCCAGCAAGTTATGGAACCAAGAGGACCAACAGCATCCGCCTTCTGGCCAGCCATGGAGACTGATGAACGTGGACAATTCTTGGGTGTCAACTTGACTACATCTGCTACTAAAACCTGAGCTGTTGGCTACACCTGTAAGGGATTTTTCTTGATTGGAGCATTTGAAGCCGGAAGATCCACCTTAAATCTGGGCTCCACCTTACTCTCGCTGATAAACTCATTTCTTCTCTGGTATTAGAGCCTTCTGACATATACTGAAGCCCATCTGAGACATCCAGCGTCTTGGGCCAAACAGCTATTCAATTCTTAGACTTTCTGTTGGGAGGGAGCCATTGCTGAACTAGCAGGACCACAGCCTCTCTCTCTCTCTGTGTGCGTGTGCGTGTGTAGAGGGAGCGAGAGAACCTAGAGAACCCTGATTACACACAGAGGAAGGAGCCTGCCTTATAGGGTAAGCACTGGAGAGGCACAGGCAGGAGAACCAGCAGTTCAAGGCAGAGAGATCAGGAGTTCAAGTCACCAAAAGCTGCATTCCTGTTTTCTCTCCTTGCCTCCGCTCCATCAAAGGTCACCATCACTGACTGCCGTCACCCCCTGCACCCAGCTACTTCCACCTCTCTTCCAACTGGGGAGGGGAAGGACAAGGGACCCAGGCCAAAAAAAAAAATATTGCTTTGGGTCTAACCACGTTAAATTCGGCTCTGAAATAAACGCCTTTTGTAGCAGCCTCTTCCTATACCACTATCCAGAGGCTGCACAGTTGATAAGTGAAATTTTGGTTTCAATTAATCTGAAGTTCAGTTTCTTTGGCTTGGTCTAGGATGTTCCAAGGAAGCAACTAAATTGCTCTGCAATTCAGTGGTAGGCAATGAGGACAAAAAGGTGCATGCAGATAATAAAATAGATGGGAAGTAGACAGTGATGGTGCGGTTTCTCTGGGTGAATTAAGTACAGCACTGTCTAGGAGCACAAGAAACTCCCTATCCTCAAACGGCCTGGAGGAGCTGGCTGTCTAGTACTGGAACGAACAGAAACAAGCGGAGCAAAGGGTACATTCGGACCACAACACCAACTACAGCC